GCTGTGAAGGAGAGTCACTATTCATCCAGTCTCCTCTGGGTAGACTCTGGGAGGCCATGGGACGCAAACACCCAGCTCTGGCAGCACATACCCTCCTTTGAGAGCAGACAGTGAACACAATAAATATATGGTATATCAGATGGTGCTCAGTGCTCTGGGTACAGGGAATCGGGCTGCGGAGGGAGGGTGGTCAGGGAAGATGATGTTTGAGCAGACCTGAAGGAGGTGAGGGAGCCAGCCTACATCTGCAAGAAGAGCATTCATCAGAGAGCACAGTCAGGTGCAAAGGCCCTGAGGTCAGCGCATGCAGGGTATTTGAGGGTTGCCGGAGGCAGTCTGTCTGACAGCTTGAAAAGGACCACTCTCCTTGCTGTGGTGGGGAGAGACAAATATGGGCAGGCACAGAAGCTGGAGAATAGGTGGGACCAGAAGCTGGATTACTGAAAAAACCCTGATCAAGTGAAGTGGATCTAGGCTGGGTCACACTGGCTCATAAGAGCAGATTATTTAAATTTTCAATAATCTTGCCAGCTAGTGGTTAAACATAACTCTTATTAAAAATTAAGTTATATAAATGTACAGTGAGATAAAATTTTATTGGAAACAAGGGTAACACATACTCAAAACTCACCACTTCCTAATTAGTTTTCCTATCATCTGTGCCTTCGAAGTTATTTGTCTCTTGTACCTGGGTGGTGGAAATGTACCCTGATGGCTGCCGCACATATCTGAACTCCATGCTGATGTTGTGTTGGGAGCCTGACATTGTCCGTGGCAGGAATTTTCACACCATAGAAACTGGTAAATGCTACAGAGCAGACCCCGTCTTCCAAAGGGCTGCTTGGTCATTTACCAGTGTGCCACTGGTGGTTGCAGTGGAGGTGGTGACCAGGTCTCAGAGACCAGAGAGGCTTCGAAGGTACAGCTGACGGGATGGACAGATGGACGGCCGTGCAGTGTGTAAGCTCCTATTGGCAGCACTGGAGACTTCCAGCCTCTTGGGAAATGCTGGCCCACTGTAGAGGCAGGGGGAGGGGAGGCTGAGCTCTGTTTGTGGTGGCCATGTGCCTAGAACAAAGCCTGGCACACAGTAGGTGCTCAGGAAAGAGTCGTTGCTGAATGAAGTTCATGCCCTGCTGCCTCTACGGGCCACTGTGTAGGGCCATATTCATTTGCAGATTAATAAGATGCTCATTTCAGAGAAGAGGACAAACCAACCTTTTTTTTTAAAGAAAATTGTCAAGGGAGAAGAAATCAGGGGCAGGGCTTGGCCACACTTGGGACCATGGCAAGGCCATCATTGTCCAAGCAGATGGGGACAATGGCTGGTGCCTGGAGTGGCTCCTGCTAGCTGCAGGACTTGGGGTGGAGTCCCTTAGGCCCCCATGTTTTTCCTGTGTCCCTCTTTCCGTCTCCCTCTCCGGGTATCTTGTGGCCTCTGAGGGAAATGGAGTTCTCACACAGAGAAGAAACACAGGAAATAGGGCCAAGCGACATTTATAAATCAGACTTGGTCCCAGCCCTCGGCTCGCTCCCAGGACCAGCAGGGCCAAGGTCTTGTGCAAACAGCAGTGGCTTTTGAGGGCTGGCCTTGTCCAGTTCCCAGCTTCTTGGAGACCCCTTACTTTGCACGCCCGCCCTGTGGTAAAGGCCCATTCCTGCTGATTCCCTCCCATCTCCAGGCCTTGGCCCTGCTGCTCTGGATTGCCCTCCTCTCAGCACTCCAACCCCCTGCGGTCTTCCAGCTCCTTACCACCTCCTCTAGAAAGTCTTTTCTGCAGGGAGAGTTGGGTGCCGCACCCAGTTTCCTGTCACAGTAGCAATTGCACAAATTCGGGTGCCTTTCTAGCTTTCCTGAGGGTGGGTCCTGATCCAACAAAGACCGGCCAGCTGGAGGGGAATGATGGAGGTTTGCTTGAACATTCTCTGCTGGTCCATTTGCAGTTCGAAGGCCGGAAGTACTGCGAACATGACTTCCAAATGCTGTTTGCTCCATGCTGTGGATCCTGCGGTAAGGGCTGGATGTAGCACACTCCTCTGCATGCCTAGGAGGTTGGGCAGGTAGGCGGGAGCACAGGTGCTCTTCCCCATCCCCTCTCTGAGCACCAGCTCTCTGGAGGCATCACCTCCCTAAGCTCTGGGATCAGGCTGAGCTCAGGCGAGTGCCAGTGTGGGCAAGGCTTCAGAGGGGGCTGGGAGGGGGACACGTGCCTGCCTCAGTGATCTGGGACCCATGTCTTCCAGGTGAGTTCATCATTGGCCGTGTCATCAAGGCCATGAACAACAACTGGCACCCGGGGTGCTTCCGCTGTGAGCTATGTGACGTGGAGCTGGCTGACCTGGGCTTCGTGAAGAATGCAGGCAGGTGAGGTGGGCCGGATCCTGGCTAGGAGGTGGACCCTCACCAAATGCACTGCTTAGTGCCTTAGTGCCAGGCCCTGCAAGGCCTGGGCCCATCTACAAGGCAGCTGAGAGACCCTGGTTTATAGGTGAGGGCTGGGGCCAGAGAGACTAGGGGGTGACGAGTCAGGGACTGCCTCAGGCCTGGGCGTGCTCCCAGAAGTAGGCTGACAGCAGGCAGTGAGGAGGTAGCTGGCTGGGGCAGGGGCCATCAGAGGCAGTGGATGGATAAAGAGCTTTGGGTCATCACTATTGCCTGGCCAGCCCTTGCTGCTGAGCGGAGCTGCCTGCCTCCTTCCCTTTGCCCCTGACTAAATGCTGCTGGAGAGAAATCACTCAGCCAGGGGGCCCAAACTGACTCTGGCACTCTGTGCTAAGTTTCCTTTGTAGACTGAGTTCCCTTCTTCCTGGAGGACTGGCTCTTTTCTCCCTGCACTGTCTTTTTCCCCTCCACCCTCCTAGAGTGAGGACCTCCCCACCACTTTCCCAAGGGGAAGGCTCTCCTGCTCCCTGCCCTGGTGCTGCCCAGGCCTCAATCACAGTGCCCCGTGGAGGCCCTGTCCCTGCTCCTCCTTCTCCAGTGGAGCTCTCTGCTGCAGTCTGCGCTGCTTCCCCCAGAGCTGTCCTCCCTTTGTGGCTGTCTGCGGCATGTTCCAGTGCCCTTGCTGGCTCCTCTCACGTGCCCCACTGCCAGTCAGGTCCATCCCCATGACCTACCTCCTCATTGCCAGACCCAGGGGTCACCACGGTCCTTTCTTGACCTCTCAGTGGGCTTCACAGCAGTTTTTTCTTCTTGCTGAAATGCCTCCTCTCCAGGCACCCAGGACCCTGTGTTCTCGTGGTTTCCTCCTGCCTTGTGGCTGTGCTGTGTCCTCTCCTCTTCTGACCTCCCTCCATCTGTCTCTCCATGTTGGCTTGCTGGGGGCTCAGCACCTGGGCCTCATCTCTGTCCAACGTCCCAGAACCCCGACTGGCATGCATGCGCTGGATGATTCAGATGTCCACCTCCACTCCAGACCTTTCCCTCAGGTTCTCAACCACTTGGTGCCCACTGGGCATCCCAAAGGCAACAGGCCCCAACCAAACCCTGGTCTCTCCTCCGCTGACCAGCAGGTCTCCTCATGCAGTGAAGGTGGCCGCCTACCCTAGCTGAGAGTCCCCCGCCCTCTCCTACCTTGTCACCTCTCTGTTCTCTGCCACTGTACCGTTTGCTTTGGGTGCAGCCTGCAGTGATCTCTCCCATTCTCCTGCTGTGTGTTGCCTGGTGTTGGTCTTGGTGTCTGTGGGCCACTGGGTAGGGGCCCCTGTCGTTGTCTACAGAAGGGGCTATGGAGGGGAGGTGGTGTTCCAGTGGTCCTGCGCTGATCAGGGGTTGCCCGCCAGGTGTGGGCCTGAGCGAGTCCTCTCTCCTGAGCTCCAGCTCATACGGAGCTGCCTGTGGCAGGAGAGGCTGGGAAAATCCGGGAGAGGCTGGAAGCGCACCGAAGTAAGGTGCTGCTGTGAAGAAAGTGTGGCCGCCCCGCAGAGACCCTCCTCGCCCAGGGCCGCCCTCTGAGGCCTGTGGTGCAGAGTGTGAGTGTGCACGTGGGGCAGGCTGCGGGGGCTGTCTGATCCAGAGGCAAAAGCCGGTGCTGCCTGGCCTCTCCAGTCCTCACCTCGGCTTTGCCACTCTTGGGTGGGAGGGAGGAGAAGTTCTGGGAAGGGAATTATGTCAGCCGAACACAATAACCTTCAGAATCCTAAAGTACAGTTATGTTTACAATCAGTGTGATCAGGTAAAAAAGGGGATCTGGGCCCCGCCGTGGCAGGTAGAGTCTCTCAGGAGGCAAAGGACACTGCTGCTGGTCTCAGTTAGTGGGACACAGGGTCCCATGCCAGGCGTGGGCTCCCTGCTGGAGGTGTCCTGAGACGAGGACAAAGCCTGGCTGCCCCGTCTGTCTACCCCTGCCGGCTGCTTGGCTGACTCAAGAGGGATCAGGCAGCTGCTGAGAAGCCATGGGGATTGTCAGGCCTTGCGCAGTGAGCAAGGACCCAGTGCTGAGATGAGGAGCCCAAAGGCCGCGCTTGTTGGATGTCATTTGCTGGCCAACCTGAAATGTACCTACAGCACTCAGTTACAAGTTACCGTCCATGTCCCCTGAACTCAGGGGTCATCTGGCAAAGGTGCCACCCGGGAAACTCATACTCCTTCCCCTCCATCAGGATTCCCACACCCCCCCTTCTCTTGAGTCATTCGCAGCTGCCGTCTGGGGCTCTTTCTGCAGAGCTCTGCTGCTGTGTGTTTCTCATGGTGGGAAGGAGGTTGGGAGTCGAGCAAGCAGCCCTTGGGGAAGAAAGACACTCATTGTTTGGGAACTGTTCCTCTGGCCCCCTTGCCCCGCCTTGCCATGGGGTGAAGTCACTGAGTATCCAGTAACTGTATGTGAGCAGGGCCAGCACAGTCTCTGCAGGTGGGTGGCTGATTGGTCCCGTGGAGGGGTGTCTTCTTTTAGGGATTTGCTCATGAGATAAGACAGAACCAGTTCCTGGGTGCTGAGTTCCGCCCTTGGAGAGACTGGGCTTCTTCATCACGAGTCTGGTGGCGTGTACCCTGAGGTGGGGTGGGGAGGTCCTTCTGAGGACAGTCTGTGGCACTGGGTCCCAGGGCTGGCGTCCAGGGGCTCACAGCTCTGACCTGGCACTCAGTGAGCTCTCATTGGTTTTCCCTTCAAAGCTGGGGGGCGGGCCTGAGAGCCTTTTGCCACAGACCAGGTTGCACAGGGCATCGCGGAACTTCTCAGCCACAAAGAAGTACATGACTGGGTCCAGCGCCCCGTTGAGGCTGGTGAGGCAGGAGGTGACGCGGTTTCCCAGGGCCAGGACGCGCTGGGTGGCACATGAGGTCCCTCCGCCATGGTAGCGCAGCACGTAGACGGAGCGGTGCACGTGGTAGGGCACGAAGCAGACCAGGAAGATGGCGAGCACCACGGCGATCATGCGGACCGCCTTGTTCTTGAGGCGCTTCTCCACGCGAGGGCCCTGCCGCAGGCTGCGGATGATCAGCAGGTAGCAGGTGACCGTGGTGACAAACGGGAAGGTGAAGGCCACGGCCAGGGACACGAGGGCGTGCTGGGAGGCCTTCTCCCGGTACAGCTGCAGGCAGATGACCGTGTGGTTGGTCTGCACGGTCTGCGGGCTCACCAGCAGCGGGGCCATGGCTACGGCCACCACTACCCAGAGGAAGGCGCAGGCCAGGTGTGCATAGAGGGGTCTGCGGAGCTTAAGGGACTTGACGGGGTGCACGATGGCCAGGAAGCGGTCAGCGCTGATGCAAGTGAGGAAGTAGATGCTGGCGTACATGTTGAGGTAGAAGAGGAAGCCGGTGAGTCGGCACGGGATTTCCCCAAACGGCCAGTGGTTCCCAGAGAAGTGGTAGACGAGGCGGGTGGGCAGGACCAGCACACAGGACAAATCGGCCACAGCCAGATGCATCAAGAATACGTTGGCGGGGGTGCCTGACTTGTGGTCTCGGACGAAAAGCCACAGGGCCAGGGCATTGCCAACAAAAGCCAGGATGAAATCCAGGAGGTAGAAGGAGGCGAAGAGGACGTTCTCCAGTGGCGTCTCCTGGCCACATTGCTCTGAGATGACCAGAGAGGAGTTGGCGGTCAGACCTGGGGAAGCCACCTCCAGGCCATTCATGCTTCAGCCGGAAGCAGAGCCAGGGGACAAGCCTGGAGGGAACAAGCAGACAGGTTCCAGAGCCTGGGACCTGTGAAGGGTCTTAGTTTGTCATCGCCTTGGGGACTACTGACAGCAGTCCCTGTGTTCATCTGGGGTGGGTAAGTATCAGAGGCTTTCTGAAGCTCAGCAAAAAGCAAAAACAAAGCCAGGGCCTAGAGCTTGCTAGCCTGTTGCTGGGGCCGGCTTCCCACTGGCCACTGCATCCCTGCCAGGTGCACAGGAGCCTGGGTCCCCCTGGGTGTCATCCCAAAAGTCCACTCTCTCAGACCATGGGGACAGTGGGGAGTGAATCCCATCTGTCAGGGCTCTGAGGTGGAGGGAAGGCCCCACATTTTCTGCCATGCTCCCCAGGTGTGCTTTCTGAATGCTAGGGGGTGGTGCGAGGGGCCTTTGAGCTCCAGTCCCGATGGGCATGGTAGATCGCCCTTTTCCTCTCTCCCTCCCTCCCTTCCTTCCTTCCAGATTGATTTACTATTTGAGAGAGGAGAGAGAGCCCAAGTGGGGGGAGGGGCAGAGGAAGAGAGCCCTCAAGCACTTGCCCTGCTGAGCTTGGAGCCCAGTGCAGGACTTGATCCCGGGACCCTGAGATCATGACTTGCCTGGGCAGTGTCTGCAGAGGGGGTGGATGCCTGGCAGACCCTCACTCGCAGGGCAGCTTCTGGGGCTCCCCTGGAAGGCCCACCTGTGTGACTGCCATGCAGAGGGGCAGGAGAGGGGCTTGTGGGAGGAAAGCTACAACCCAGCTGTTGGAGGAGGAGCACCGGCTGTGGCCATGGCATGGTCAGGGCTGTTGTCCTGGCTGAGCCTGGCTCTGTACTGAGCGCTCGGGGAACCAGAGCAAGTTCTCTGCAAGCGTCCCCTGGCTTCACTTCCCTCAGGAGGCCTGGTGGCAGCTCTGTCAGCACAGCAGCCCCTCGAGGATGAGGAGGCTGGGCTTGGCTGAAGAGCAGATGTGGGTGGGGAGGGCCCAGCACACCCACCTTTAGTAGACAGAGCAGAGCAGGTGGTTGAGATTGTGGGCTGTCAGGCTGGGCAGCAGCTTGACCCTCCCCATCAGGCTTCATCAACCACCACTTGGGTCCTGCAGGGACCCCGCCACCCCCGACAGCATATACATGAAAGGGAGAGGGTGGCTTCCTGAGCAGGAGAGAGCCAGGGACAATGTGGGGGAGTGGCAGAGAGCCTCTGGCCTATAACCATCCTCAAGTAAAGGGGGTTACTTTCCTAGTATTGAAGGGACCCAGGAAGTTCCCGAATGATCTCCCCTGCTCCAGAGTGGGTCAGGATGCCTGAGATCCAATACAGAGAAATTATTTTCCTGCTGTTTCCAAGTACATGTGACCTGAGGGGTTGTTGCCAGGGAAGCCCTGGCTGCTGGGAGAGGGCATGGGGCCAAGCAAGGGAAGGGTGGTATGGAACACGGGGCTGGGTTTGCTCTGCTCTGGGCTGCCCCTTACACCTGGACTCTGCCCCTCAGGGCAGTTGTCACCCAGCCCCTCCCTGAGGGCTGCTCATGGGTACTGGCTATCCACTCCACCACTCCTAGGAGGCAGGCATTGGTAGTCTCCTTTTACAGATTAGGGATTAAGAAGTCAAGGCTTAAAGTCGGCTGACTTGACCCAGGTCATTTGGCCAGAGACAGTGGCCCTAGATTTGGAAGTAAGTTCAGGGACACCTAGTAGGGACACCCAGCACCTCCCGGAACACTGCCTTGCCTCTGTGGGTGGCTGGGTTTCGGGTGCCAGAGCTGGGACTGTGGCTCGGCCTCAGGGCTCGTGCTGGAATTGTCCCCCAGGCTCAGGGGCACCTCCTTGGGGTCTGGCCCCAGGACTGGTAATGTAATTTTTGGCACCCAGTGCAAAATGAAAACGTGGGGCCCCTTGTTTAAAAAGTAGGAGTTTCAAGATGGAGATAGCAGAGCATTACATTGATTGTGGGGCCTGCCTGGCTGCACTGGTTGGTGGCCGTGCCAGCCCCTGGCTGTTGGCCTCCTGCCCACTGCCCTCAGCTTCCCACTAGCGCCGAACGCCACATGCATGGTGCTCTATCTGGGATCTAGACTCAATTTTAGAATGCTTTTAGGCTTGTTTCTGGTTTGTTGAGGTTTCTGTAAGCTTTCCCATTTTGGGATTCTTGATACTGATTTTTGCAGCGTGGTCTGAAATGGGCCCCTCTCTGCATACCCCAGACCTGCAAGCTTCTGCCTGCCTTCGCTGGCTCTCCCTGTGGTGCTGCTCAGAACAGCGTGGTGTGGGCACATGGAGCATGCCTGGGCCTGGACATCGGGGGCTCTAGGGCTATGGGAAAGCCAAGCTTCAGGAGACAGGTCTTGGGCCTCCATGAAAGGGAGTAGTGGGCAGGCGTGGCCTTAGGAAGGGGCCCAAGGTAGCTGTGGTAGGTGGGCATGGCTGTTTCCTCTCATGGCCTGAGACCTCTTCTTCCCCGCTCCTCCTTCCGGCTGCTCCCTGTGCTACGGTATGCTAGTGGAGGAGAGCATGGGTACTGATTCCAGCTGACTGTCATCGCAGTCGCAATGCTGTGCACGAGGCACTTGCCCTCTCTGTGTACCTGATAGTGCAATGGGAGTACCACCTAGAGGGACCAGGGCAGCCTTTGATAAATAGGTCATGCTATTATCCCAGAGAGTGTCTCAGGGACAGAGATACTGCCCATCCCTGCCCTCACTCTGAGTTTGCCTCTGCTTGGCTCCTGAACCCCCTGCCTGCCCGTACCGGACTCTGGTCCTTACCTCTCACAGCCGGGTCCAGGTGCAAAGGCAGGAGGGCTACAGGGTGGCAGGTGGGCTGCGGCCAGTGGCTGGGGGTGCTGGCAGTGGGCTCCGTGCCGCTGTGGTGGAAGGCTGGCTATTTAAGGAGAGGAAGGGAGGCTGCAGCCCCTCTTGGCCCTGAAAGGCCGCTTCATTCCGAGAGGTTCCTTGTGTGGTGGGCCACTCCTACGGCTGTCTCTGCTGCCACTGGGTCGTGAATATTCCAGTGTGTCCCAGCCTGCAGTCACCCCCCCCCCCCCCGACCAGCTTGGCCACTAAGCGTCACAGAGGCCAAGTGTGTGACTATGTTCGAAGCTGTGGAGTGGGCTCGGACTGGGCGGGGTGGGGGGGACTGGCTGGGACAGACAGAGACAAGAGGACGTTTCAGCACATGATAATTTCCTACCAGTGGGGGCAGGGAGGGGCTGGCCGCCATGGCAACGGGCCTGGGCTCCCAAGCCTGCTGGGGGACAGTAGAAGGGGTCTTGTGAATGGGGAGGGTGGGAGGCTGAGGGGACTCTTTCAGGACACTTGCTGTAGGGTCCTTGTGTCTTGCCCCGTATAATTAGGCTCCATTCGGACGTGCGGAATAAATCATGGCCTTTATCTTGAGCAGGGCACAGCTGCAAGCCGCCTCATAATGGGGCGCTGTCTGTGCCCGTGGGACGCGGCTCAGCCTGCGAGGCCTGGCCCTTACCTGTGTGGGCTCCTCCTCTGGATAGGAGGCCTGTGAGGAGGACCACAGTGGTCCACTGCCTAGGAGTCCCCAGGTCTCCTCCTGGGGGTGGCTTGAGGCTGGGGGCAGGGGTCGGGGTGTGGGCAGTGGCTGCTCCTGACACTGAACAAGCAAAGCTCATTTGTCTCCTCTGTCTTCCCCCAAGTGATGTATCCGGTAACACGGGGAACCAAATCAGCATGCCTAACCTCAAAAGACCTGTACATTTTTTAGTTAAAAAAAATGTACTTAGCTATCGTTGGGGAGTAACTACCATGTGAACTATCTTAAATTTGGTTTTCAAATTTGGTTTTCAAAGTCCCATGCAGTCAGGATTGTTGCCCATTTTACAGATGGGAAAATAGGCTCAGAGAGGTGAAGTCACTTGCCAAGAAGTGGCAGAGCTGGGATTTGAACCAAGTACATGCCACTCCAAAACTTATGATTTGTGCGGGTTAATGTTTTGGTTCATTCTGTTTTTTCTTTTGTACCTTGATGCTTGAATTCTTAGGTTCCGTCTTCATTCTACCTAGAAAAAAATTCTGCAGATTGTCCTTAGATCTGGTACAGGGATCTAGTCTGCTGGAAAGATGTTTCCCTGTGTGCCTGGGTGGCTCAGTCAGTTAAGCGTCTGGCTTTGGCTCAGGTCATGATCTCAAGGTCCTGGGATTGAGCCCTGCATTAGGCTCCCTGCTTAGCGGGGAGCCTACTTCTCCCTCTACTCCTTCTCTCAAATAAATAAAATCTAAAAAAAAAAAAAAAAAAGATGTTTCCCAGCTAGGGTTCCTTGTGGGGCACTGGGCTCCTCAGTTTGGTCTCAGCTGGGAGTCAATGACCAGGGCCCGGCCCCTCCTCTATGCTGCCTCACGTGGAGGTCCGGAAGGACTAGCTCACATCCATTTGACGCGAGGGTGTCTGGCTTCTTCTGTTGTTGGGTGATTGCTCACAGTAGCTGTGAGGGCATGATTGTTGCAGCAGAATTGTGGGGGGTTGGGCTAATTTCTATAGCTTTGGAACAGAAGTTATTCTGTATGGCTTTAGTGATGTCATAACGCTAATAGTAGTTACCAAAATTGGGATTGGGGTCGTAGGGCATAAATGCTGTGTCTGTGACAGAGGCACAAGCTGGTGGCAGGTGTGGTGTGGAGAGCGTGAGCCACGGTAGTCTGGTGGCTGGGGGAGCATCTCTGCTCAGACCTGCTGTGGCAGAGGGTCTGGGGGTCTGGGGGAGGAGGTGGGGACAGGGATCTGGGGACCGAGGGGGCAAAACCTTAGTCAGGGAGATGAAGACTGCAGCGACAGGCCACATTTGTATCCCATGGGTAGGTGGAGTCGGGGCCCTGGTGAGGGGGCCGGCTTCCAGTACTGGTCTGGCTGTACTGTCATGGGAGATGGTACCCACTGTTTCTCCCTTCCTGTCTTCTACAATCATTCATTCACTCATGTACTGGAGACTCAGCCTGAGCTGCTAACCTGATTGGGCACAGCCTGGAGCCTGTCAGCAAGTGGCTACCGGGCACTCATTTGGGCCCCTTGGCCTTCCCACCCACCAGGGAGATAAAACACAGACAAGGCAAGCAGACAGCAGTGTTGTACTGTGGGAGTCCAGACCCCAGTGAGGTGGCAGACATTGGGGTCAAGGCCATGGATAGTCAGTTGGCCTTCCTGGTGTCTAGGATCTGCCCATCACACCTGGTTGGAGGATCCTGAGTCTGAGAGTTAATCTCTTAACTAGAGTCCTTGATCTGCCCGTAAAAGAGGCTGACTGTGGGTGTCAGGTCCCTGTGGAGGCTGCTGAGGGGTAGAAAACCTCCCTGTCGATGGGTGCCTGGGAAGACAGGAAGGGAGGGCCCGGATGCATCAAGAAGGCTTACAGACTGGGGCGGCAGGTGGGGGATGGGAGTAATGGATTGGGGCCTTTGTACATCTTTGGTTGGGGACCCTGAATCTAAATTCCCTCCACCTTTGAGGCACAAGGAAACAGAAACCATGTTGATTTCTCTCTCAGTAGAGATCACAGCTGTTGCCCAGTGCAAGGAGTAGCATCAGAAATTACTCTGAGTTCTTTACAAAAAAGACTCTGTAATGATAGTTCCTGGGTTTGGGGGCCTCTGTCTGACACAGCTGTGCTTGTCTTTGGAGACAGAAAGCCTGTAGAAATACGGGTCCCTCTTTGTCTGACAGACCCCAAAGGAAGGGGTTGTGCAGGCCAGATGGACCTGGCCCTCCGTGGTCTTCTGCTGAGCACAGCAGGGTTTTCAAGCTAACAGTCACGATTCAGTTACACACCCACGTTCAAAGATATTTGAAAATAAAATTTTATCTGCAGCAAATGGCAATGAAATGTCTATGCTATTCCATACAATGTCCTAGGCTCAGAAAAAGTGGGGAGAAGAAAACGATCACATTTGCTCTACCATCCAAAGTCGGCAAACACCAATATTCTGGTGTATTTTTGTTTTCCAGTGCCAGAGTCCTTTTTGGTGAGGGCACGGCTGTAGGCTTCATGGCCGCAGGATTAGTTAGTTTGCCTTTCTGGACCACTGGCTGAGCCTCTTGAGGCTTATGGGTACTGTTAAAGCTGCAGGCGGGAGCCCAGGGGCCTATTCTCCCAGGAGGTGAACCATGCTATGTGGGGAGGAGAGGGGGAGTGGGCAGTTGGCCCCTAACACTTGCCTCACTTCCCACAGGCACCTGTGCCGGCCTTGCCACAACCGGGAGAAGGCCAAGGGTCTGGGAAAGTATGTCTGTCAGCGGTGCCATCTGGTCATTGATGAGCAGCCCCTTATGTTCAAGAATGATGCCTACCACGCGGACCACTTCAGCTGCACCCACTGCGGGTACGTCCACAGTGGAGTTCCTGTGCCAGGGGCAGGTGGTGAGGTGGGCAGGACCCCCACCCAGGGCAGTGAGGGGACAGGAGGGGTGGACCAGTCGGAGAAAGGTGAGGGGCAGACATAGAGGGCATCGCTGCAGGAAACGGCTCCCTCCGGGGCCCCATTCAGGGAGCCCCTTGCATGAAGTCCCGCTGGACACAGGGTGAGGGAGGGCTGGGCCCCTGGAAGCTGGGAGGAAGGAATCAAAGGCTTAGAGGGCCAGGACAAGGAGGAGGGGTTGGTGCTGGTGTTGGAGAGGGGAGGAGAAAGGAAAGAAGCTGTGGAGGATTCCCTCATCCCTGCCCCAGACACCCAGTCTGGTGCGGAGGGGCCGAGAACAGATCTGCTTCTCAGAGGGCCCAACAATGCACAACACAGACTGCCTTCTGCGAGGCCCGTGCGGGAATCTTGTGCCCTGGGGCCTGTCTGGGGCACAGGAAGTCCCTGAAGAGACCAGAGATCAAAGAGCTGCCCGCCCTGGGCACTGTTTTGGACCAGAGTGGGTCCTCTCTGGAAGCTGCTCCCTGGGGCTGGAGGGGCTGGTGGGACCCACCAGTGCCAGGGCGGGCCCTGCAGTGGGGCAGCGATGTCACCTGCGGCTCTGCTCTGTCTCCCAGGAAGGAGCTGACTGCAGAAGCCCGAGAGCTGAAGGGCGAGCTCTACTGCCTGCCGTGCCATGACAAGATGGGTGTCCCCATCTGTGGGGCCTGTCGTCGGCCCATCGAGGGCCGTGTGGTCAACGCGCTGGGCAAGCAGTGGCACGTGGAGGTGAGCAAGGCCAGGAGGTCGGGGGGTGCCCCAGGCTCACTGTTATGTGTGGAGTCTGGCCCTGCAGCCCTTCCACGCTCCCACCCCCAGGCCATGGGGCTTGCTCCCAGCAGGGACCCTCCTCTTTGATGCTGCCCCTTCTCATGCCTGGCCTACCTTGGGAGACAGGAGACCTGAGTGCACAGACCACGGTCAGGCAGCTGTGCCCACCTACTTTCCTCCCCCTCTTGGCCTTCTAGAGAGAACCTCAGGGACAGTCTGCTCAAGACACCCCGTGGGGTTATGGTTGGCAGAACTGGCTGTGTCCGGCCGCAGAGAGACATGGAAGCTGGGCACACCTGCTGGCTTAGCTCCTCGGGTGTCTCTGCCTGGGTCACCTGGAGCATTCACCTCTACGGGCTCTCACGGTCTTACAGATACTAGCTGGAAGGGAGGCTTCTGTTCCCTGATGCCCTGGCTAGGTCTGTGTCCCAGAAGCTGTCTTGGGTGGCCTCTTTGAAAAGGTTCTGATGCAGGCCCTGTCCTGGTTCCCAGCCCCCTGTGAGGAGGGCGAATCCCCACACACCACAGGAACTCGAAGATGCTGCTCAATGACCCGGGTCCTGCAGGGGATGCCCATGGGAGGCAGACACATGCGGTCTTCCGGGGAAGCACCCTGCGTATAACAGAGGAGCCCCCGTGGGGAGGTCCCACCACGCCCCAGGCACCTCACCAATGCCTGACAACTTGGGCGGAGTTTGGTGGCCTGGGGGGCAGCCCTGGAGAGGATGGCAATGCGTGTCACTGTGCATTGGGGAAAGAGTGGGGCCTGCTCACTCATGGGAGGTCCATGGT